TGAAAATATAACTTTATCAGAGAATCTTTCCCTGACCATTCAGTCTTAAAGATAATTTTTAGTCTTTTGCTGTCATATCAGTCATTTCATAATATTTACTACAGCAATGAATTGGGTGGCAATCTTGCTCATATATTTACTGCTTTTTTGTATTTTTCCTCCCTTCCTATTTGTCTAAATTAGAAGACACTTGAGAGCCAGGTAATTGTCCTCTAGTTAACTTCTATATACCATGGTCTAGAACAAGAGTTGGCAAACTATGGCTTCTGAGCCAACATAGCTTGCTGCGGGTTTTTTTTTTTTTTTTTTTTTTTTTTTTGGCACACAAAGTTTTGCTGGAACACTGCCACACCCATTTATTTAAATATTGTACATGGCTGTTTTCTTGGTCTGGTGACAGAGTCAAGTAGCTGCAAGAGAGATTGTATAGCCTCAAGTCTAAAATATGTACTTTCTATTTGCAGAAAAAGTTTGCCAAACCATATATAAGACTTGAGGGAAGCTAAGACAGTTGCAAAAAAATGATCAGTTATGAAGTCAAGGACCTAATGTCTTTTAGAGTTTGAATTAGGGTATTAGCAGTAGACAATAAGAGAGATAGAGACATCATCCAGAGAGAGAATCTACAGCATTTGTCAACTGTCTGGATGTAATGAATAAAGCAAGAAAGTGAAATGACTGCAGAATTTTAAGTCTGGGTTGCTTAGAGAATGTTGATATCATTAATAAAAACTGGGATGTAAGAAAAGTATGTGATCTGGAGAAAAGACATTGAATATGATATTGGAAATATTACCCAAAGCGTCAGTAGCACACTGTAGCAGAGATGGCAAGCTGACAGCAGTTTAGAGCTCAATAAAGTGACAGAGACTAGAAAGCTCTATTTCAGATTCACATTTGTTTGAGCAAGAACAATTTTTGAAATTTGGAAAGTAAAGACTTCAGGAAATAATTTTTTAAAACAGAGAATGTATTTAAGGACAGGACTTTAAGAAATGAATATATTTAAGAATGAAAAGATATGTGAGAAAAAGAAATAGTCATTTAAGAAGGGAAATTACATTGGTTTCCAGAAGAGATGGTTTTTGAGTATTCACTGCTCAAGAAAGTTAAAAATGTAAAATGGAAGAGAGAAACTGAGAGAAAAATTTTACACATTTGTGACAAAAATTATTTATATATCTATTAAATTATATATACGTAAAAACTGAATTTTTAACAATTAAAAATAAAAATGCTAGTGAATTATATGGATAAAGGTGTGATGAGTAAACAGTTATTCAAACAACCATGACTTTAACAATATAGAAATGAACTTCTTTCTCTTGTAGAAGTCTGAGCATGAGCATATCTGGGCTGATATGGCAGTTCCATGGGGCAGTGATGAACACCATGCTTCTAGCTTGTGATTCTGTGATTCTTAACATGCACGTTCCTCTTTGTGACTAAACAGCTCCTCCTTTGGTTTCTGCTATCATATTCTTATTCCAGTGAGCAAGAAGAGGAGAAGGAAGGTAGAAGCTACCCCTTCTACTTTCTCTTTATGGGCACAATTCAGGTATTGCACACATTAGTACTGCTCACATCCCATTAGCCAGAAAGTAGTCATGAGAACACTCCAGCTCCCAGGAAGGCTAGAATATGTCTTTATCCCAGTGCTCCATGAAATGTGTGGGTTTATCATTAACTAAAGAAAGAGAGCAGGTAAAGGGGAAAGCTGGTAGTCTCTACTACATACTGCCTCAATAGAAGAAATGCTATACAAAATATGAGAAAAATCAAATCACAATATAAATGCCATAACTATAATCAAATAAATGGACATAAGACAGCAGACAATTCTATTACATTACAATTATACAATATTCTCAGGTAAACAGGCCTGACCACCCGTCCCTATACCTCCACGCAGTCTAGGTTACCACCTAGACTATGACAATTGCCTCCTAACCCACGTCCCTGCTTCAAGTCTTGTCATTCCCAATTAATCCTCCAAACTCCTTTCAAGTGATCTTCAAGAAAATCCAAATCTTTTTAAGCGTACTTTTTCAATAGGAAAAGAAATCCAGGATTCTTCTCCATGCAGTCTAGGCCACCTCCATATCACACCTAGACTATGACAATTTCCTCCTAACCCATCTCCCTGCTTCAAATCTTGTCATTCCCAATTAATCCTCCAAACTGCTTTCAAGTGGTCTTCAAGAAAATCCAGATCTTTATAAGCTTACTTTTTCAATAGGAAAAAAATCCAGGATTCTTGACATGATTTTAGACCTTATGGATCTTTGCCCTCACCCCATATATATATATGCCAGCTGTCAAGATGCTTGCAGCTTCCCTAATGAAGCTTAACATTTCACAATTTTGCTGAGACTGCTTGCTCAGCCTGAATGCTTTCCCCTGGTCTCCCTGGTAAATGCCTACTCATCTCTGGACTCAGCTCAAATGTAACTTCTGTAAGTTATTTCTGATCTCTCACTTTACCACAAACAGAAGTGATTTCCTCAGCTGTTCCCCTAGTGCAACTTGTATATACATTTATTACTTTATCACAGATTTTTATGTTGTTTTAGTTCAGCTTCTGCTTTGCTTGCCTTACTCATTAAGAAATTAAGCTTTGTTTTTTTCCTGTAAATCTGCTTGAGTTCTTTGTAAATTCTGGATATCAGCCCTTTGTCAGATGGGTAGACTGCGAAAATTTTTTCCCATTCTGTTGGTTGCCGATCCACTCTAGTGACTGTTTCTTTTGCCGTGCAGAAGCTGTGGAGTTTCATTAGGTCCCATTTGTCTATTTTGGCTTTTGTTGCCAATGCTTTTGGTGTTTTGTTCATGAAGTCCTTGCCTACTCCTATGTCCTGGATAGTTTTGCCTAGATTTCCTTCTAGGGTTTTTATGGTGCCAGGTCTTATGTTTAAGTCTTTAATCCATCTGGAGTTAATTTTAGTGTAAGGTGTCAGGAAGGGGTCCAGTTTCTGCTTTCTGCACATGGCTAGCCAGTTTTCCCAACACCATTTGTTAAACATGGAATCCTTGCCCCATTGCTTGTTTTTGTCAGGTTTATCAAAGATTGTATAGTTGTATGTATGTTGTGTTGCCTCCGGTGCCTCTGTTTTGTTCCATTGGTCTATATCTCTGTTTTGGTACCAATACCATGCTGCTTTGATTACTCAAGCCCATTCAAAAGTGGGCAAAGGATATGAACAGATACCTTACGAAAGAAGACATATATGAGGCCAACAATCATATGAAAAAATGCTCATCGTCACTGGTCATCAGAGAGATGCAAATCAAAACCACATTGAGATACCATCTCACGCCAGTTAGAATGGCGATCATTAAAAAATCTGGAGACAACAGATGCTGGAGAGGATGTGGAGAAAAATGAACACTTTTACACTGTTGGTGGGAGTGTAAATTAGTTCAACCATTGTGGAAGACAGTGTGGCGATTCCTCAAGGCCTTAGAAATAGAAATTCCATTTGACCCAGCAATCCCATTACTGTGTATATCCAAAAGACTATAAATCGTTCTACTATAAGGACACATGTACATGAATGTTCATTGCAGCACTGTTTACAATAGCAAAGACCTGGAATCAACCCAAATGCCCATTGATAATAGACTGGATTGGAAAAATGTGGCACATATACACCATGGAATATTATGCAGCAATCAGAAATGATGAGTTTGTGTCGTTTGTAGGGACATGGATGAATCTGGAGAACATCATCCTCAGCAAACTGACACAAGAACAGAAAATGAAACACCGCATATTCTCACTCATAGGTGGGTGATGAAAAATGAGAACACATGGACACAGAAAGGGGAGTACTAAACACTGGGGTCTATTGGGGGGAAAAGGGGAGGGCCAGTGGGAGGCGGAGGTGGGGAGGGATAGCCTGGGGAGAAATGCCAAATGTGGGTGAAGGGGAGAAGAAAAGCAAAGCACACTGCCATGTGTGTACCTACGCAACTGTCTTACATGCTCTGCTCATGTACCCCAAAACCTATAATCCAATAAAAAATTAAAAAAAAAAAGAAATTAAGCTTTGAAACATGGGATTGTATAATCTCTTTTTTATATCTGCCACATAACAGGCCTTCACTAAATATTACTGGTGAAGTTACTGGGACCAACCTTTCTAATAATCCAGTCTCCTTAAATCCTGGATTAGAGTAGATATGGTCAGCATGACCTGAGGGCTCATAGGAAATTTTGGTAGACATAAGATGTCCCTGTGCCTTGACACTTGAACACTGCCCTGTCCTGGGCTTTCATAGAAAAAAGGAAACCCACAGTGCCTTTCTTTAAAAAAAAAAAATGTTTAAGAGAACACTATTACAGTATCTTTCATTCTGCTCCTAAGTTTTAACCCTTCTTATGCTGCAGCAGCACACTGGAAAGATGAACTCAGAGGGGTTCTGGTGTTTATAGTCCAGGGGTCTTTTTGCCTCCTTTGATACATAAAATAGAATATGGGTAGATTCCTCCTTTATCCATGCTATAAACATCAATTAACAGAGAAATTTACACTAATTATTCCACTTATCTTAACATGTAACCTCTTCGTGAGAGGAAACATGGGAAAATTAAATTTGACTAAGTAAAAATTGTCTGAAGTCTCAGGAGATACTTCTTAATGGTGATAAAATGAAAACTAGAAAAGTCATTAGGCAATTATCTGACCAGTTCTATTTCTGCCCTGAGTACATTATGTCAGGTGCTTAGTACAGAATCTGGAATGAGAAAATTCAGAATCCCTCAGAACTTTTCTGTCACTCTGAGTTCTCTCTGATTTTATTTGTGTATTAAGTCTCCATGTGATTAATATTAGGACTTTATATTTTTGGGTCTCTGGAACCTCATAACCTGTTAATACTTCTCAACAGAATGACAATGATCAATGAATTTGTTTTGCCAGAAAGGGAAAAGGGGCAGTTTTTCCAACTTCAAGGAAGTTCAATTAGAGGAATTTGTACACTTATTTCTTTTTTTTTTTTTTTTTTTTAATTTTTTATTGGATTATAGGTTTTGGGGTACATGAGCAGAGCATGCAAGACAGTTGCGTAGGTACACACATGGCAGTGTGCTTTCTTTTCTTCTCCCCTTCACCCACATTTGGCATTTCTCCCCAGGCTATCCCTCCCCACCTCCCCCTCCCACTGGCCCTCCCCTTTTCCCCCCAATAGACCTCAGTGTTTAGTACTCCCCTTTCTGTGTCCATGTGTTCTCATTTTTCATCACCCACCTATGAGTGAGAATATGCGGTGTTTCATTTTCTGTTCTTGTACTTATTTCTTTATTAATCTATTCTCTTAAAAATAATATGTTGTTCCTTCATGAAGTAATTAGCTTTTTCTTTCCCTATATTTCAAAATCAATGATTTTCTTTAGGGTGACTTGTATCACACAGGATTTTAAACTAACAAAGATTATTCCTCAGAATAGAAACATGATCTGAACATATATTTTTGTATTTGTCAATATTTGCTCTGGACTAAGATTGCTTTAGTCAGAGATCATCCCCGTTCTTTTGCCTTTCATTTTTCTTTTTCCTTTGAATAGTTCCCCACAGGAGTTGGGAGACAAGCTTCTTTTTTCTCTGGCTGTAAAGCTATTGAAGATAAGTCTGGACCTCTTGGAGGATGAAGTTTTACTCTGTGGAGTACACTGGTTTAAAACCAAAATCAAAAGAAGGAAGATACGGAGCAAGAGAGAAAGAGGATGAGACCACAAGTCCTGGAATAGGAAAATCTCTGCCTGAAGGTATTCCCCTGAGCTACTTCACTGTTGCCCTCTTTATAATTTTATCATGTCAACCAATATTCCCCCTTTTCTCATGAATCGACTTTGAGTTTGGTTTTTATTCTTTGAAATTGAGAAAGTCCTTGCTAAAAAGTGCTTGTCAGTCTTTGCATCTAATAACAACTTAATTTTTGGTTTTCCTCTCTGAATATAGAAATACAAAAGCCTTAATTCTGAAACAAAGAATACCTTTGGCATGGTGAATTCGTAGTGTGGTAGCCCCCACTGTCTACTCCTGACGAAAATGATTATGGATATAACAAAGTAAGGGGGAAAATGAATGACTATCTTTCTCACAGAATCTTAAAAGCTGTCGAAAGTGCTAACAATTCCCACTTCCTTATTTTAAATGGAAACAGTACAAAATGTCTAAGTCCCGCTATTCAGCTTTCCTGTGGGAGCTGGCAATACTCCCACAGCTGTGTATGCAGAGCTGTGAGGAGGATGTTGACACTTTTGCCCAATTAATGTGCAGCTTTGCTGGACTTCTGTCCGATTTCTGACAATGCCAGCAGTGATAAGGGATCATTATGGTCTAATGAGAGTGAAAAAATTGGAAATGCAAGCCTCTTGAAGAAATGTTAACGCTGATCTGCTAATGTTGGGGAGAAAAGGTCTTAAACCATTCATTCTATTCACTATAAATGCGTATTTGAATTAGTAAAAAACAATTCTTATGTAACTATATTTTTTAGTTTTTAAACTGCAAGCTGTGTTGACTAGTCACAGCAGGAAAGAACAAATCAATTTTTCTTTTCATCAAGAAGCAAAACTGAATATGTCTAAATCAAGCATTTTCTTTTTGGCTTTAATATGGTATAATTGGCAAATAAAAATTGAATATACAAGGTATACAATGTGATGTTTTGATACATGTATAAAATATCAATCACATCACGTACTTTTTTTATGGTGGGAATACCTAAGATGTATTCTCTTAGCAAATTTCAAGTATACAGTACATTTTTATTAACAATAGGCACCATGCTGTCACCAGAATCTTTTCATCTTATAACTGAAAGTTTATACATTTTGACCAACCTCTCACCATTTCTTTCAACCTGTCCCTCTGCCCCCCAGCCACTATTCTATTCTGTCTCTATGTATTTGATTTTTTCGTTTATAGTTTCCACACATAAGCAAGATCATGAACCATCTTTCTGTGTCTGACTTATTTCATTTAACATAATGTTTAAAGTGGCAGGCTTTCCTTCTTTTAAAGACTGACTGATAATTCATTGTGTATGTATACCATAATTTCTTTATTCATTCAACGACAGACATGTAGGTTGATTCCATGTCTTGGTTATTGTGAAAAATGTAGATACCTCTTTGAAATAGTAATTTCATTTCATTTGGATATATACACAAAACTCAAAGTAAATTAAAAATTTAAACATAAGAACTGAAACCATAAAACTCCTAGAATAAAATATGGAAAAAATGTGTAACCTTATATATGACACCAGAAGTTCAGGCAATACAAGCAAAAATAAGCAAGTGGAACCACACAAAACTGGAAAGTTTCTGTACAACAGAGAGAACAATCAACAGTAAAAGACAACCCACAGAATGTGAGATAATATTTGCAAGCCTGATAAGAAGCTAATATCCAACATAGATATGAAACTCATACAACTCAAAAGAAAAAAGGAAACCCTAAATAACTTGATTTACAAATGAGCAAAGGTCCTGAATAAATTTTTTCCAAAGAAGACACAAAATGGCCAACATGCATATAAAATGTCTTCAACATTACTAATCACCAGAGAAATGCAAATCTAAACCGCAGCAAAATATCATCTCACACTTATTAAGATGGCTATTATCAAAGACAAGTGGTAACAAGTGTTATTGAGGTAAGGTTGCGAAGAAAAGGGAACCCATATACATTTTGGTCAAAATGTAAATTGCTACAGTCATTATAGAAAAAAGTACGGAAGTTTCTCAAAAAATTTAAAGTGGAGTTACCATATAATCTCACACTTTCGCCTCTAGGTAGATAGCCAAAGAAAATAAAATTACTAATCAAGTGTTTTGTCTTAATAAGAGACAGCTGAAGGAAATGTTGTTTCATCTTGGTAATCTGATATAAAACTGAAAAGTACATGTGGTGGAATGTAAATATTCATCATTAATGTTCACTGCTAGTCCACTATTAATTCATATTATGTTACATTGATACTTAAGCTACTATGTTTACTTGGAAAAGTATACAGAGGATATGTAACAAATGTTCTAATTGTTCTTTATCCTTGCCATTAGCTATCATAACTTGAACTTTCCAATCAAAGTGTTTGGATATAATACATTAGCACTGTTGTAGCATTAGTATGTAAGTAAACAAGACAGATGATATCTCTTCTCTCATACAGGAAACATTCTGTTGAAGGAAACCCTCATAAAACACTTATCTATAGAATGGATTCAAGCAATAGTAGGACGGTGTGTTATTAAGATGTATTAGGATGTAAACCTCCTTGAATAAATCAAAAGACCTTTGTTGTGCTAAACTCCATGCTATAATAAATCCTGTTAGAATGAAACTCCTATTTGCTTGCAGAGGATAAATTACACTCCAATTGGAGAAAAAGGCTTAAAATGACTTCAAGAAACACACTGTAAACTTGCCACCTGTTTTGCATTCTCCTGAGTTATTTTCCTCAAGGAATTGATGTGCAAATCATCAGAGTCTACATATTTTTCCCATTAACTACAAAAGACAGTGACTAAACAAATTAGAAATTGTGTTCATTAGCAGAAAATCAGTAAAATTACACTGCCTGGACACTTATGTAAAAAGTTGTGATTTTTTTCTTTCTGAATTATTTCCCCTAAGCCACTTTCTACTGGCAGTCTGTCTCCTCACATTAGTGACAGGAAGAAATAATTAAGTGTAAGTTGTCACTTGTGATAGGATGAACCACGAAGTAAAAGTGCACTAAATGGGGCAGATGAAACCCTGGCTGTCCTCCTCACATCTGCTGGAATAGAGTTAGGAGTAATCTCTAAAACATTCCCACTTCTAATTCCCAGAATTTATGTGGATGACAAATGAGAATAATCTAGATTTTTCTTGTAGGATCTTTAAGAGGCATTCTTTATTCTTAATCACTTACCCTTAGGAATATCCTCAGTATGTGCTTGAAATTAGGATAAATCTATATGTTATAGTCAGGGTGAAGTATTAGTAATTGTTGAATATTACTACATCTAACTTAACTGTTAGTGTGACTTGTGAGTGGATAAACAAGAAATATTTATTGGTCTAATTGTTCATTTATTCAACAAGCATTTAGTGAATACCTTCTATATATCATAAATGTTTTAAGTAACTGAGAAAATAAAAATAATTAAGATATAGTTCAAGTTTCTTCCAATCTAGAGGAAGATAAATTAGAAAATTAATGGTTAGAATATAGCATGGTCAAAGCTATGAGAAAAGAGAAAGATCGCATGAGAAGAGTTAACAGACATGAGGATGCAATGCTTGTTCTGGGTCTTGAAGGATGCTTTGGAGCTATTTTGGAGACTAAGGATGGAAGACTTTTCTGGGTTGGGTAAAATGTAGCAACTGCAATAGAGAAAATTGCAGAAAAAAGCCCAGTGTCTTAGTCTGTTCTGGCTGCTGTAACAAAACTACCATCGACTGGATGGCTTATAAACAACAGAAATTTATTTCACATAGCTCTAGATCCTGGAATGTTCAAGATCAAAGTGCTGGCTGATTTCCTATCTTTTGAGGGCCTGTTTCTCATAGAGCCTTCTTGTCACTTCCCAGGATGGTGTAAGTAACAAAGCAACTCTCTGGACCACTTTTTACAAAGGCACTAATCCCGTGCACACGGACCCTGCATTTATGATCTAATCACCTACAAGAGGCCCCACCTATGATATGATCACCTTGAGGACTAGAATCTCAACATATACATTTTAGGAGAACACAAATAGACCATAGTCACCAGCAACTGCAAAATCAGGTAGATAAGAGGCTGCACCTGTAGGGAGCACCAAGCAATGTGGTCTAGCTGGGGAGAAAGGTCAGGAAGGAATAATGTAGGAGGCAAGCCTGTAGAAAGATAGGCTAGGGTTAGAGCATAAAGCCTCAAATGCTTCCTTGAGAAGTTTGCATGTTATTCTGAAGATTATAGGAGGGTACTACAGCTTTTCGAACATGGCTGATTTTTTATTTTAGAAGAATTACTCTGGTAGTAAGATATTAGCAAGACTGGGGATAAGGGACAAGTTAGGGAGAGAAAAAGAAGGAATGAAGATACCCTCCTTTCATCTTTGTTAAAAAACTGGAAAGATCGTTGTGCTTCTACCTGAAAATGGAAATAATGAGAAGCAACAGCTTTTTCCTTTGAGAGGTGGGTGATGAAGAAAAAGGCCAAGTTCAATGTGAGTATTCCAGTTTCAAAAGTATATACAACATGTGGACAGTGAGATAAAAAGGAGATAAGAGCTTAGAGAAAGTATAGCTCTTCAAACTGACACAGGAACAGATAATCAAGCACCCCATGTTCTCACTTATAGGCGGGTGTTGAACAATGAGAACACATGGACACAAGGAGGGGAGCATCTCAGCGGGGACTAGGGGAGGGACAGTGGGTGGTGGGGAGTTGGGGAGGGGTAACATGGGGAGAAATGCCAGATATAGGTGATGGGGATGGAAGGAGAAAACCACATTGTCATGTATGTACCTATCCAACAATCCTGCATGTTCTTTACATGTATCCCAGAACCTAAAATGCAATTTTATATATATATATATATAGTATGGCTTAGAAATAGGCCGTTGGCAATACAACTATGTGGGTGTCTCATTGGTTCTAGCTACCTCCATTCTATCAGGCTCATGCTTAATGGGGCGCTTTATTATGGGTTTGCCTATTTTCACTGGTGGCAAGAATCATGTAAGGTATTTATTAAAAGAAACTTTATAAACAAGAAATGAAGATATTATCAGTTCCATTCCCAGACTGAGTGAATCAAGATCTCAAAAAAAAGGCCTGGCAATCTTCTTGCCTTATTTTGTTTTATAAATAACACCATGAAAGGATCTTGCCAGCATGGAATTCTGGGATCTGCTTGGGTAGTGGGAACATTTCTTAAGCACCTGCTGTGTGGTAGGCACACTACTCTAAGCTTTATGCACATAAAGACTCTATCCCTAACAACAGCTGTCCCTAACCTTTTGGCACCAGGGACTGGTTTTGTGGAAGATAATTTTCCCACCGACCAGGTCACAGGGGAGGTTTTGGTATTATTCAAGTGCATTACATCTATTGAATACTTTATTTACATTATTATTACACTATAACATGTAATAAAATAATTATGTGGCTCACCTTTGGGAGGCCTAGGCAGGTGGATCACTTAAGGTCAGGAGTTCAAGACCAGCCTGGCCAATATGGCAAAACCCCATCTCTACTAAAAAAGTAAAAATTAGCCCAGCGTGGTGGTGGGCACCTATAATTCTAGCTACTTGGGAGGCTGAGGCAGGAGAATTGCTTGAACCCAGAAGATAGAGGTTGCAGTGAGCCGAGATCACACAATTGCACTCCAGCCTAGGCAACAGAGTAAGACTCTGTCTCAAAAAATAAAAAATTATACAGTTCATTATAATGTAGAATGAGTGGGAGCCCTGAGCTTTTTTTTTTTCTGCAACTAGATGCTCCCATCTGGCGGTGATGGGAGATGAGGATAGATCATCTGGCATTAGATTCTCATAAGGAGTACACAACCTAGGTCCTTCACATGAGCAGTTCACAATAGAGTTTGTGCTCTTATGAGAACCTAATGATGCTGATCTGACAGGCGACAGAGCTCAGGTGGTAATGCAAGTTCTGAAGAGTGGCTATAAATACAGATGAAGCTTCACTCACCTCCTGCTGTGTGGCCCAGTTCCCAACAGGCCACAGACCTGTACCAGTCCATGGCCCTGGGAGTTAGGGACCCCTGCCTTATAACACATAACAAAATAAGTATTATTGTCCCTGTTTCAATATGAGGAAACTGACATTCATAGTCTTGCTCAAGGTCTTAAAACTAAGTGGAAACAGGAACTCCTACTGATTCCAGTGTCTGTGCTCTTGACCTTAAAATACATCTTGTCCTGCTTTGTGTTGAAGAATGCCTAGAATGACATAGGAGAGGTATTTTCTCTTAGTAAAGAACAAATTGTATGCCAAAGGAAATAGAAAAATTCAAATGAAATTATCTCTATGTGTCTGCTAACAGTAGACCATCTTTAGTGTTGAAATTCCCTAGTATATCTCTCCTTCCAATAATGTTACAATATATTCAGATTTGCTAAAGAGTAACTATATCCTCAAGCACTTTGCTTCAATTTCTTTAAGTACTTTCTCTACTTTTTGTACTCTACTTCATCTCTATTCCTTCTCTTTCCATAGGATAGAAACCACTAGCTCCTGAATTCTGGTCAACTTCAAGCCAAAGGTAACTGAACAAAATGGGGGAGGAAGGTAGGCTTCCAAAGGATGAACAGAAGGGGAGAGGAAGAGTGTTGATACTTACACTCAGAGCCATGCTTTGATTAATTATATGTCTTAATTGCTTAAAGCACCTAATTAAGCTGTATTTCAATATTAAACACTTTTTTGGCTACATTTGTCTTCTGTTCAGCAAGTACAAACGCATTTTTCTCACTACATGTGTCCCCTTAACAATTAGACTACTTTGACAACAAATGATCTCAGCGTCCTCATCCAAAATAATGTGCCCTGCTTGTTCTTGTTATGCTAAAAAACTGTAGAAGTCGTATTTCTTAGCTTGCTGCTCTCCCTGAGGTTCATCATGACCATCAGTCCACCAATACTTATCAAAGGTCTGCAAGATACAGCATCATACCCCATTTTATAAAGTGGTAAGTTAAGGAAAGCAAAGACAATATCTTACAGGTTTAAAAATAGAGGAGATAGGGCATATCCAATCAGGGCTTCTGAAATCATAAAAGAGGCTCAAGAATTTGGTGGAGATAAAGTCAAGTAAGCATTCTGGTGTCCGTGTAGAGACAAAATGACAGATGTAGGATATCATAAATGGGTAACATCAAAGGGCAAGGAGTTCTGTGCTATGAGCTTTGAAGCCTATGAATGGAACATCTTGGAGTGGAAGAAAGTAAAGATATACTTAAATAATAATGAGGATATATTAAAATATCATAACTGGCAGTTTGAAACGACTTCCACTAGTTAAATCTAGAACAATTTGTGCATCAATATAATGATCGTAAGAAATCACAACCCATTAAATAGGGGTACATGAGTCCATACAAATATTAATCAATTAAATTATCAATCAATTATGAAGAAATGTTCTTTCTTATAGTAAAATGTAGTATTAAATCTATAAACCATGATATAATTGGAAAGTCATCATTTGGCTACCATCAAAATGATAAAGAAGACAGGCCAAAATCACCAATTGTCTCAGTTTGTTCAGGCTGCTATAACAAAATACCATAAACTAGGTGGATTATAAAAACAACAGAAATTTATTTCTTGCAGTTCTTGAGGCTGAGAAGTCCAACATCAAGGTTCAGGCAAATTCGGCATTTTCTGAGGGCCTGCTTCTGGGTTCATCGAGGGATGTCTCATTGTGTCCTCAAATGTCTTTCGTGTCCTTAAGAGGCAAAGGAGTGCTCCAAAGTCTCTGTCATAAGGGCACTAATTTCATTCACAAGGGCTCCATTTTCATGACCTAATCACCTAACAAAGGCCCTATCTTCTAATGCCATCATATTGGGAGTTAGGGTTTCTATTTAGGAATTTTGAAGTGACACAAAGACATTTGCTAAAACTAGTGAGTGGACATTTAATGAGAATCAAGACATTTACCTAGCTAGCCTCAAAGTATCCTACCACAAAATATCTATTAATTACAAAGTGAAAAGTAGCAACCTGAAAGTGGATAAACTTTGCAGACACCACTTTTACCAAGTGATTAAAGTTAACATTATCAATAATAGCATAACGTTATCAATAATAAGACAAGATTAAGTGCCTTCTGACATGAAAACTGGGAAAATTATGTTACTTCCATGGTATTGTTTTTTTTTAAGATATAATCTGAATCATTCATTAGGAAACAGTAGATAAACATCAAGAATCATTAATTTAAAACATAAGTTGCCTGTACTCTTGAGAATTATCATGTTAGGAAAGACAAAGACTAGAACTGTCCCAGATTAAAAGAGACTCAGGAGACACAACTGAAGGCAAAATGATTGCCTTTTACTATAAAGCACTTGATTAGGGCAAATGGTGCCATCTGAACAAGGCCTATGTATAGTACCATGTATAGATAACAGTACTAATCAATGATGCTTTCTTTATTTAAGTAAGTGCCCAGCAGTTACATGAAGGAATATTTTTGTTTTAAATAAATATACCCTGAGGTATGTGAGGTAATTAGTGGTAATGAATAATGTCAGCTTTTTACTCCCAAATACTCAAAAATGGACAGCTGATGGATAGATAGGAAAAGAGATAGAGAAATCCAATGTGATAAAATATCATTTGAAAAGTCTATATAAACATGGGAATTTTTGCAAAATTCTTACAAATTTTTTGGAAATCTAAAATTATGTCATAATGGAACATTTAAAATAACATAAAATTGAAAATTGTCAAATTTAGTTATATGTATTTGTTCTGGTTATGTATTGCTACATAACAAATAACCTAAAACCTTGTAGTTTAAAATAAGAAACTTTTTTTATATATTATGATTTGGTTGGTAGAAAGTGGGGCAGGGCTCAGCTGGATGATTCTTCTACTCCCTTGAGATACTGACTGAGATCACTCGGTGCTATTCAGCTGCCACCTGGTTTGCTCCAACTGAAAGGATCCATATCAGCTTCATTCACATGCCAGGCATCCTGGAAGGGTAACTGTCAGGCAAGAATTAGTTGAAATAGTCATCTGAAACAGTTACACGTAAATTGGATGTCTGACATCATATCTAAGGGCTCTAAGTGCAGGTTCTCAGAGATAAAAACTGGAAACTGACAGTTTCTTAAAGCCTAGATCCAGCAAGAATGGCATGTGTCTGCCATATTTAATTATTCAAAATCGCCATAGAGCTCACCAGATGTAAGAACAGGAGACACAGACTGCACCTCTCCATAAAAGGAGTGTTAAAGACTTTGTGACCATCATTAATTGGCCAAAATAGTTGCGCATAAAAAAGCTTTATTTATTTCTTCCATTATTTGTGTTTTACATAATTGATTTATTGTCTCATCTTTATTATTACCTTCTTTCTGCTGGTCTTCAGTTTGTTTTGCTGTTTTTTGTGCATCTTGAAAAGGAACCTTAGATTGTCCTCTTTTACCTCTTATTTTTTCTAATATATAGATCCTAGACTTTAAATATTGATCTAAACACTGTTTTAGCTGAATACCATAAGTTTTCACATATAGTATCTCCACTATCATTCAATTAAAAATATATATTTTTTTACTTTTTTTTTGAGAGAGAGACTAGACTCATTCTGTTTCCCAAGCAGGTGTTCAGTAGCACAATCAGCTCATTGCAGCCTCTAAATCTTGGGCTCATGCAATCCTCCCACCTCAGACTCCTGAGTAGCTAGAACTGTAAACATGCACCACCACACTCACCTGACTTTTTCTGTGTGTACAGATGGGATCTTGCTATGTGGCTCGGGCTAGTCTCAAACTCCTGGCCTCAAGTGATCCTGTCACCTCAACTTCCCAAAGTATTGTTATTACAGAGATGAACCACTGTGCCTGGTCTGTAATCTCCATTATAATTTATTTTTTGATCCCTGGATTTAAAAGCGTTTAGTTTCCAAGGGTTGGAAATATCCTAATTATCTTCTGGTTACTAATTTTTAACATAAATTTACTCCTGTTAGAGAAACTAAAAATTATTCAAGGCTTTGAAATACATTACTATTTGCTATAAGACCTAGGATCTTATTAATTTTTAAAATGTTTAATCTGCAATTAAAATAATGTGAATTCTATCATTGTTGGGTGAAACAGTCTACATATGTTTATTCAGTCAAGTTTGTTAATTGTGTTTCTAAGATCTTTCCTTACAGAATTTTTGTTTACTTTTAAAAAATAACTTCTCAAGAGATGTGTTAAGATCTTTTATTATGATTGCAGATTTTTTATCAAAATGTTTAGTTATATCCATTTTTACAGTATATATTTAATTGTTACACTATTGGTGGATGAGGATTTGGGATTTATCTTCCTAGGAGACTGACCTTTTTATCTTTTTGAAGTGTATTTCTCTTTAGCTACTAAGACAGATTGTCATACGAGTTTACTTTTTCTCATGTCAGTATAGCTAAGCTGAATTTCTTTTGGTAAGTACTACTTTCATGATATACCTTTTACATTTTGCTTTCAACTTTTCTGTGTCTTCTGTTTAAGATGCACTCTTGTCATCATCATATAGTTTGATTCTGATATTCTAGGTCTTAATTGGATTATTTACTCAATTTATATTTAATGCTATTACTGATATAGTTATTTTCTATTTCATCCATCTATTTTATATTCTTATTACTATCTTTTCTTGCTATTTTTGGGTCAAATAACTATTTTACTATTCATATTTTCTCTCTATTATCATTTTAAAACTATTTCTTTAGTAATTACCCTAGGAACTTAACTATGCATACTTGACTTAATGTAGCCTAATATAAATTATTCTTTTAAACTTTTTGCACTTATAAAGATGTCTAGCTATAAGACTATGAGACACAAATTAAGCACTTAATATACATTTATGGTATTACAGAAAGAGGGAAGTAATAGTTAGAAGAGAAGATAAAGTGAGACAGCAAGTCCCTAAGAAATAAAGCAGCATAAATGCACCATTTCTTTGCTTGCAAAGTGTAAACATTTTAATCAAGCTTTCAAGTTCTTACAATATTTGCCTTCTGTATTCTTCATCTCTCAAAACTTACATTACTTTACAAGCATTTCTCAAAGTACTGTCTGTGAACTACCTGCCATAGAATAATGAGAATGAAGAAGAGGGGTTGTGTTTGTTAAAAATGTCAATTCTTGGGATCTAGTCTGTGCATAAAAATTAGAAATTATGCATGCTTGATTTCAGGAACCTACCAGTTTTATAAAAGTATTGTATACTTAATCCAGTTGTTCATATTGACTTAACAATGTGAACTAATACTAATTCTAAATGGGTCAAGCATCCTCATGTCAGGATGCCTGGATTCAAATTCTAGTCTTTACTATTCAGAAGGTATGTGACCTTGGACAAGTTACTTTATATCTCTATCCCTTAGTTTCTCAATGAATTAAATGAATATAATAGCATATACCTCATACATTCATTGTGAGAATTAAATATATGTAGATTATTTGGAATAGTACTGGGCTTATAGCAAGCATTTAAGAAATGCTGTTTTTATATTACATTATCATTAATAAAAAC